TTGGCCAACGTGGTATAGTAGACCAAAACCTCCTTTCTAATTAGAGGCCTATGTCCAGCAGTGGACTATTAAAGGCTGTTGATCATTCACAAAAATAAATATGTACATCACTCGCATCTGATGACCAAAAAACAAATATTTCAAATCGTAGACCTTCCAATCCTTAACGTTCATCAAAGTTACAAATTCAGGTTCAGTTAAAATAAAACGCTTTCTAATAAATTCTCATCCCACATTTAATATCCGTACGGTATAAACGGTACTTTTGCGTTCAATTTACCGGGCCGAGTTTATTGCCATATTGCATGACGACGTTCGTAAATTCACTTCATCCACCTATAAGTGACATCAATCCATTTATAATCATTACGGCACTACGTAAGCCTATTAGAACAGTACCTATGTGCACAGATACAATTGCATTGTTGTCACGAACTAACGGCTTTCAAAACTCACCGCAACATTTAGACGTACGGTTTATGACGCTGTTACCCTCCTGGAAATGATGGAGCTTTAACGGATGTGGTACTCGACACCAGCAAAACCTTCACCGCCATCGCTAATATGCGCATCATGTGCAACACGTTTAACACTAACGACTAAAAGCAACCGTACAAATGACAAAAGCATGTCTGCCGGTAATTATCCTATTGACCATAGAAAGTAGACTAGTGAGATTTTTTTAAGTGTAGAAAATGTCAGCCGAATGTACATCCACGATTTGAGTTACTCGTCTTGTTTTATCTTATTCTCGTACAAACATGTTTAAACAATAAACTTTTACATTTCGAACAAGTTTTATACATATATACATGTACTTTTACATATTATTATTACGAGATTTGAGAGTTGCAAGGAAAAACTTGATAAGGATTGTGGCTCTGCGAGTAACATACTTTAAAAAAGTAGTAGTAAAGTCAGGTTTAGTGTAGTTATCTTGGTTTGATGGTATAATTATGTTCTCATGTTGAGAACTACTGTGACATGACACCTGTTCATAAAACACTATCGTTTTTAAAGAAATATGTTGGTATACTCTTAGTAATTATTTAATTGTGTATTTTCTAGAACTATTTAACGACCAAATTAACGTAAATGAGCAAAGTTTCAATGCCAAATTTAAATTATGCAGGTTTTCCTTTTCTTTCTTTAGTTTCTATTATAATTTTCATTGGTTTACTCGTCGCATTGTTATATAATACAGTATTATTATATAACACATAAGTGTGATAAATACCGAATAAAGTACCATTTACAATATATCCGACAATAAAAAATACGTGTCACGAGATACACTCACTTATGTACTGGGATTCATATTGATTTCCTTGATTCCTATGAGTCATGCTTTGTTATGACTCATTCTGTTCCCAGTATTTTTATCATACAGGATTACACTTCATTGGCATTTTTCTTGTAATTCTAATACTTATTCTCGTTTAGTTTAATTAAATTTAATAATTGCTTTTTAAATCTTTCTTTATGTTTCTAATTCTTCATTCAGGAATTAATACTTATACTTATGGCTGAAGATAAAATAGTATAATAGAAATATATATATGTCTTATGTTTTCTCCAGACTATCCTCATAAAATGAAGACGATAAAATAACATAATTTATCTCTAAATTGATAATGTTGTCTCAGTACATTTTCAAATGACCCCATCACAATTTCATTATTTCACGCAGCAATAAAACCATAAGACACAGTGAATGTGTTTGTTGCAGGGGTCATGTTAAATATCGCAGTTCAAACAAATTTATCATACTCAAACTCACGTTTCAAATTCACGCTATGATGTAACTGAACTTCCGTAGTACATATCGTATGTTTTATGTATTTAGTTGCTTCCAAGACGAAGTATTCCGTGAAACGTATTGAGAAATCACAGTTTCTTAAATTATTGTATAATGATCATAACTTTGGGATAGTTTTGATGAATACTGATGAGCAGTAAGATAAATTAGAGGTAATAACAAATGAAATTTTATATCGTGTAATAAATGTAAATGCTACATGTATGTTCCTAATTTTATGACGGATCGTAATAGTCTGAAGTCCATCATCGAAATTACTAATGTTAATGCTTACGTAGTTTAATTAATACAGAAGCTAACGTACAAATAAACGAATTAGGTTCACTTTAGAGTATCAGGCCGCCTGATACCCTAAAGTGAACGAAAAGTATTGCATTTCATGTTTTCGTGCCTAATTTAGGAATATGTAAAAGAATATAATTTTAATATAATCAGCAGGAGTGTGTTTGTTACTATAAATACCCATTTTCGTGTCAAACCTGTGTCTATAATAATTTAAAATTCATCATCATTCAACATCATCAACAGCCCAGTAGTCCACTGCTGGACAAAGGCCTAACCTTGGCCAGATGGGTCAAGGTCGGTTTGTGTCAAGTTTTCCTACTCTTTGCAGTGCTGTTGTCCTGGTAGTTTGTTACTTTAGTCTTCTTTTACGACACCCACGGGATGAATAGGGGTGGTGACACTCTGTATTCCTAATCCGTCACCACTAAAGTGTTCAAAATCATCAATCAATAAAAGATAATTGTATCTTAAATGTCTCTGTTTTAATTAATTTCACTGTGTCTTTTTTTAAATTCAATTTATACTATTTGAGGTTGGTCCCATTTGAACAAAATATTCCACATCTGACTTCACTTAATATCCTATTGTCCTGAGATGTGGCGCGTCCGGTCCTGAGAATTACACATAACCAAGACTTGGAGTGAGTTAAATTCCACCTCTAAGAATGAAAAATTTAGGGACGGTAGACTGATTAGAAATTAAATAATAATACCTAACAATTAGAGTGTCTTGTGATCGCACTTTTAAGGTTTTGCTTTTAAACGACTGCAAAAACACGAAAGAAGAGATAATCAATTCAATTACATTGTATTTTTAATTTTTTATTGTGCTAATGTAAAGCTGACATAGACCAGTATTACTTATTGTGCATCGCGCTTGGCACCGACTTGTGCACCGACTCTCTAGTGGGAACCACGTTGTACCTTTTCTGACCCATCCTCTCTTCACTCCTAAGGTTTACTGGAAGCTAACTCAACTATGGGTTAACTTCGTACGCCTTTGTGCATACCATTAAAAAAAATGAAAAATGTTTCAAATAATACTCGTACTTACCAAACAGAAAATAAACAAATAAGATTTTTTCAAACTTTACCGAGTACCACTTCTACAAGACAACAATAACTGAATTTATTTTATTTTACTCTTTGTAGACAAATATTTTATGAAAATAACGATGTTTGGTATTAAACCAGTAGCGGCTAGACTTCATTTATTTTTGAACATTATTTGCATAACCATACGTGTGTTAGGTATCGGTGATTAAGTATTCGTCACCGTCTACTTACGGTAAATCCTTCAAATTTGCAGACATACAAACAAATTAGGTATTACTTACATACATTCAAAACTAATATGAATGGTTTATATTTGATTTATTCAATTATAACAAGTGTGCGGCTTGGCAAGTCAGAGAATGTTTATAAATCGTTAACTTTTCAATTTATTTAAATTTGAAGGTCATTTGTGTGTTGGTGCGCATATTAAAGCTTCGAGTTTCTACGTCGTTGTCCTACTTCCTGGTCGTTTCTGCAAGACCGGTTGCTTTGATTGCTTCGCGATCAAGCCTAACAAAAAGATAGTCGCGAAACGGTAAGAACGAACTGAGAACATCGACGTGAGCATCATCCGGGTCAATGGAATGCGTTTCGACAATTTCGAATCTTGATCGTATCGTGATGAATGCATATGCGACTTCCTGACATTTTTGACAGTAATCATATATTTTATTATAAAGTAATTTTAAAAAGATCTTCGTTCTTTCTAGAGTTATTTTTATCCTTTAAATGTTAATGACAAGCTATTAATAGTAGTATTATAATTGTACAAAAGTGTTTTTCAACAAATATGTTTTTGTGAAATTTTTCTTAAGGGTTCAATATGTTTATGAACGTATAAGGGCATTAGTTCGAGACGGACAACTCCGTCTTGCACTTATCCCTTCTTAAAAAAGTCTTATAATTCTTTAATCATTAAAATCATTCATCAACATGAACGATTTAATGATTAAAGAATTATAAGACTGAGAGAATAATAATAATAGAACTCGAAAATATGATAGGACTTTGTAACATTTTAAATATTAGTATTACTTAAGAACGCTACTGGCATACAAGCGTTACTAACGCTTGTATGCCATTCACCAATTCATTATGTAATAAATAACAATTTAATTAATAGGTATTTTAGCAGAAATCTTTTCAATAGAACAACTTTTTTAATTTATCTACATCACTTATATTATTACCAAACTTAACTTAAATTGTTACCTCTTTACTTGTGTTAAACACACAATTACATTTAAACAAATTGGATAAAATAAATTTGTAATTCAATTCAAGAATTGCCGTACCTAAATAAGCTGAAAGAGGACTCACGCATTCCTGGTACTCCTATCGAGCCACGGAAATATTATATATTATATTAAATAAACTTGTTTATAGGTAGACCAGGTAATTTGCGTAGTTAACGTGCTTATATTTTATAACTTAAATCCCCTCGATCCAAACGCGATTGAACACAAACATACCTACACTTTCACATTTCTGTACACCAACAGGATAGTCAGTAAAAGTTTTCACTTCATCGACTTGCAAAATAAGATTCAAGTAACAAAGAGTGACATTATCAAATCGTTTGTAATCAAATTAACGTTAGTGTGTAAATAATTAACAGCTAACAAAATTATCATTAAATGTTGCCGGAAAAATAAACTTCGACCTCATTATAGCTAACACAGTTCGCGGAGCATCAACCATATTATATCATCATCGTTTATCACACTGGACAGTTGTAATTTATAAATAAGAAGGCCATGGTGAAAATACAGTGATAAAATTAATACCATGAATGCGCGAACTGCTCCTCAAAGTTTATTTAAAGAAGAGTTAGTTTCGCAATGACCTCATTAGTGCCGTTAGAACGTTCTAAAAGTGGCGGTGAAGTGTTAAAAAATCAAGTGACAATGGGTGTGTGGAAGTCCTTATACCGGACACCGACTCCGCCTCCGCCTCCGGTAGTGGCGGTGGAATTCAGGTCGACTGCTGCTTACAATCAACCCAGGAAGAGTTACCACATGGGATGGGCTCAGGTTGTTGAAGAGCTATCATGGAAATTTAATAATCCCAACAACTCAGTGAGTGTGTGTTCTTTGTTATTGTTGTTGTCACTAACTTGTAGACACCATTCAACAATTGTTATCTAACTCTAGTAGTTTGAACTTAACTACACTACTGTAAGTGCATCTCACGAGTTTTAAACTACGAAACTCCTGTACCATTTAAGAGCTTTCCTTTAGGAAATATTTCCTTCTGTGTAAAACAGAGTTCATACAAGAAATAAGAAATAATCTGCGCAGTACTTAAATGAAATATACCTTTAAAGCAGATGTCATTAAGGAACTCTTAAAAAGTATGGCCTTTTGCATCACTGTTCTAGTGTAATTGATATTATTTTATTATATTTCTTTTAAACGAGGTAATAGGTTATAAATTATTTGTTGGAATTAGTTTCCACCATTTGAAATTTAAATTACCGGGTCACATCCGTTAATTTAAATTTCAAATTTGTAAAATTTAAATTAGTTTATTTAAAGTTATCGCGGAAACAAATTATCATGGGGAGAAGTACTTAAGAGACACGCTTTACATGAAAATCCGTGTGACATCTTTATGAACGCTGTGTCGTATTTACATAATTTTATCTTTCACGGATGGAAAGAGTTCATGTATCAGATATGAATTATGTGCAATTAGTTACACTTAATCTTAGTGTCGTGTGACCAAATGGTATCCGCACTTTCTTTCCAACAAGCCGGGAAATACTCCTTTAAAGTGCCTTAATATGACTATATTATATAATAACAAACGCTTTTGTTATCTAAGTTATTTAATATTGCTAATTAGAGCGAAAACCCTTCTTCTAGAAGTCCTAACAATCTACTTGTGCAACAATCTGTATTTTTTAGACCTTTTAAATAAAATTTCTTTATATTTATGATACTGGGACTTTCATATAGACTTTAAGTGCTCTTGACAATGACGACCAAGTGGCCCTTCAATATGACTCACACTCATATCTCAGACAAGACACTTCCATGATAGCTGAGGCCGACAAACGGAAACCTCGGCGACTGTATTCCTGTTAATTTAATGACTAAATCTTTCTTTATAAACGTACAGTTTAACTTAGTGTTGGTTGACTTACATTAAAAAAAATGATAAACAAAAATTCACAAATTTAGCATTTATATCAATGTAAATTACAGAGGCCGTTCAATAGGTATAATATAATATATACCCGACACACAAAAAAAAACAGTTATCTAATAATTAATCAGTTATAAAATAACAAATTCTATAAATACTTGTGTAAATCCTAAAACAAAATAAAAATATCATTTTAAAATCTATTTATCCCAAGTTACATATAAATACATTTTACTTCATCAATTTGAGTGGTTCATTTTGTTAGGCAAAGCTATAGAAACGTCCCTGCTAGCACATTTTCGCTGACTGCACTATTATTAATTATAGTGTTATTATACATTTAAATATATATGTATATGCTTTACAATGAGTTCGTTAATAGTTGATTTATTTCTATTATTAACGCTATTTAAGAACTTATTGCGACATAAATACAATATTACTACTTTGAACGTGCAATATTAGAAGAAGATTGAGCTATTCGTTTAAAATTAATTCATTATTCGTATTATTTAATAATAAACTCTAAGTTTACGTTTTATTCTGTTAGAATGTTAATTTAAATATTCACTGAAAAAATAATGTAAGTTGTAAAAATCACAATTAGTTGTTAATTAAAACAATAATATAATATGTAGACCTTCTCGTGAAACTGTGTCAAATAAATACTTTATATAAATATACAGTCGGCAGAAGGGGTACGTAGAATAATAGATTAAACAAAATAATGCTATGTATGAAAAATATTAAATACTACACCAAAAATAGCACAAGATACTTGTACAACTACACATTACTGAATGTTGTTTCGGTAAATTTAAATATGATTTAAAACTGGCGTAAACAATTATTAATATATCCTTCGATATTTTTTAAAGTACCAGATATAATAGTACCAGAATCAACTATTACTTTCCTTATTTTACCTTAATATAGGCGTAATGCGAATTTATGGTGTAGCATATATACATAGATTACAGACTCACCATTGCGGAGAAGGGAACTTACACTCAAATGTTGAGACAAAAGATCTGCATTAATCTGTAGCGGAAACGCTAGAGCAGCTATGCAGATATGATCCCTTCGGTAATAAATAGAATAGATATTCATAATTTATCAGATTGTGATGTAAATATTAAATTTGTTTTTTTTTACCTCTAGCGAATATATTGCATAAGGCGGCCTTAATGCCACTTTTGTTTCCGGTAATTTTTTTCCATTCAACCTTTCCAATATTTAATTTAAACTTTTTTTCTAAACGATTCTATCTTCTAATGCGATGTGCATTCTCCAACAATCTAAAAATTGATACCTGGGACCATTCCAAACCACATAATTTCTTATAGACATCAGACATCTCTTACATTCCCACGGGACACCCGAAAACGGTACTATGTAATCTTCGGGTGTCCCATCGTCATACTCATACGGAATACTTCTTTAGAACATCGCTATAAATTTTTTAAATTAAAATATTGCAATAAAAGTTTCACCGATAATATGGCCTAGATGAGACACCTTCTCTTTGAATTAATTAAGTAAAAAGACTACAGGTATGTCAAATATGACACTTTGTTATACATAGTGCCTATACAAATAGAACTACCTACACTGATATTTACTTATGATAATCTTATGTAGACAGTAATCTAAATAGTTGGCATATTAACTAATTCACACTAAACACAAGTTTCATATAACAGTGAGTACGGTAACGGTCGTCGTAACGGGAGCGCGCTCTAGTTACATTGCGCAGTTGCGCAACTGTTACTCCCGGGATTATTAAAAATATTAATTTGCATCTTAGGTGACGAAATAATAATTATAACGTCACACACCTCACGCACGACAGTCTGTTCCCAAACTAGGCAGAGCCTGTACTATAGAACCCGACTGCCACTGCTGCTGCTGATAAACTTACGTATACATTTCTAAATACATACCTATTATAGATAAATTACATCCAGACACAGAACAAATTACCGTACTCATCACACAATTATTTTGCCTGGTAGGAATCAAACTCACGACCTGCGGCTCAGCAGTCATGGTCACTAAGCCCTAGACTAACAGGCCCATTAAATCTAAATATTTATTTGTGTCTTATTAACAAATATTATCTTCAAAGTTCTTCATTCTATTAACTTTACTAGTCGCAGTTACAAAAAAAACTCACACAAAAATCCAAACATATGATTTCTTTTACGTCTATTTTAGTATACCTGTATAGTTTTGATTGAGTATCCATTTTTCTGCGAGGCAAATGTCATCTAAGGAGACAATAAACATTCTAAAATGACAGCATAATATCCAATATATCACGACAAGAATCTTTGGTAAGTTTTGTCGTAAAATCAAAACAAGGGTTACCATGTTGTAAAACGTAACTTTTACAAATATCGCTTCTAAGTTTATTTTTAAACAAAGATTTTATTAGCTGGTAATCCTTCAGAAACACTGACGCAAGCTATATTTGTGTGTGACTGCTGATTTTTTGTTGTAGACTGCCTCCACTCATTTATGATAGTAAATAGTAGGTATGTGATTTCCGAAGTTTACAAAGTTTTTATAATCGGTTATCTGCAGACGTGCCTGTGATTATGGGTTTTGAGTCTCATCTCTCGTCTCTCATCACTCGAAATCACCACCAATAATTTCTTCTTCTCTGGTGTGTCGGTCTTAGCAGAGCGGTCATAGCCACGCTGAGATGTCCAAGTTGGTAGTTGGTGGCACAGAAGGCAAAGGGAAACCACTACGGCTGTATTCCCAAGAAAGTCTCATAGAAGACCAATAAATTTTTCAATTCCTAAACGTAAAAGTGCAAATGAAAATACATATAGTAAATCCTCAAAACGTCTGAACTGTGAAATTGTAATACAGAATAAGTTTCTAAAGTACCCGGCCATTCACTGCGTTCACGAATTTAATGATAGTCATTATCCATTATTTGCACATGAAACTAAAGTTAAAGTAAGCTTGTAAATTTTTGAGTACCGTTACTTATGTATGAAGTCTAAACAGTTTATACATGGAGGTTAGAACCTACGCATTTGTATTCAAGAGACAAGGTGGTAAAACTTTATAGGTTTATGTTATGTTTTTGATACTACTAGTAAACAATTGCGCCACGTTATTGTATGATAAAGTCACGCCATAACGTGGCTCAATTGTTTACAAAACAATACAAATCTTATTAGCCCGCAATCGAACTCCTGAAACTATTAACATTTATGACATTATTAACTTACCAGATCGTTGTCCTTGTTGAAACTTTCTCTTAATTGGTATACTTATTTGTATTCCAATACATATTTGCCATACCAACATGGCTCCAATTCCACAAGAAATTCATGGTGGGTACGCAGTCCAGTAGATTTGGATTAGGAAATGCTAGAAGATAGACCGACAAAGGTATAACAAAATCTTTTCTACTACAAGATGAAAACGAGACCTACAAGGTGCACACAATGAACCTAGAAATGCAGAATAAATGGTTAACTCTAGGAGAATTTTGTATCCCACCAGCTTTGAAATGGCGCACACTTTTATACGATTGGTCACTTGCCCTGTTAAAATTTTACCTCAACGCCTTCAATTGACTCTTCCCGATCAAAGCACCCTAGTAAGGGAGGGATGAGCTACAGAAAAGGCTTGTACGATGTGCAGTGCGGAAATAGGTACAGCCAGGCACTTACTGACAGGTTGTACGCGCTAAAAGAGTGGGGTCATTATTCACGTGGGCATGATAGAGTATTACATAGTAGGGGTATAAGTTTATTGGCGAGAGCGAAAAAAGGTCTTACAACAAACATAAAAACTAACATTGCGTTTGTAAAGGAAAGCTCAACAAAAAAGACTTCACAAAAGCCGTATTCAATTATAAATACCGCCAGAGACAGGACATTATGAGTGGGCAAGTATGAAAATCATTACAGAATACCGGAGAATATCTGTGCCTCGGCGTCCAGACCAGACATATTTATTTATGCAATTTCAATTAAGCGTTTAATACTAGTAGAACTCACGGTGCCGTGGGAAATGAACATCCCTAAAGACCACGCTTAACACAGAAGACATTGGAGGTGAGCGCTGACGCGTCGCAAGAAGTACTCCCAAAACCTATACCTGGGCTGCCCAAGTCCCAGGCCCTGTGTTGCCCCGTCTATTACGCGATGGACCCGGCTCCGGCACGGTGAATCCATGGAACGCAAAGAAATAGGTCTAATAACTATAAAAAATCTACTAACAGGATAAATCATATTTTTTTGAGAAAATTGTTTTTGTTTTTCTCAGCGCTATTGGCGATTTCATTCTTCATTTTTTATACACATCATAATCAACAACACACCATAATCAAAATTATCAACCGCTTTTAATAGACCATTGCTGGAATAGGCCTCTCCTTAGAAAGGAAGTTTTCGCCTACTGTACAATGATGGTCAGACGGGTTGGTTTAGGGTTTTTTTTAGTCACCGCCTCATGCCGCCCTGAGTGTGGCCGCGGGTGGACGGGGTGGGTTTCCCTTCCACCCGCATTAGTTTGGCCAGCCGCGAGGGGGCGGCGTCCGCGTGTGCCGGACGTCGCCTAAAGAGAGGAAATAATTTTTGAGACGGAGCCCGCAACAGGAGCGGGCCGGCGCTAGGAGGGGTCCGGATGTCTTAATAACAGCTGTTCCCGGATCCCTCCTATTACAGGCGCAGAGTGGCACACCGTGTGGTTTTAGTCGGTCCGAGTCCGACACACCGCCCCGCCGCAAACCCCGGTGGGGTGACGGTCCGAGGGGATTTCCACACGTTAAAAAAAAAAGGGTTTTTTTTAAGTTTTCTTTCTCTTGAAGTGCTGTTGTCCTCCGTAGTTTGCTCCCTTAGTCGACTCTTACGACGCCAATGAAATAAATAGGGGTGGTGACACCCTGTATTCTTAATCCGACAGTAGATTT